TGCTGATCAGCTCCTCCATCGGCGGGATCGAGGAATCAAACGTTCGATCTATCGCTTCCTCTGCCGCTTAACTCTCTAATTAGGTTTAGATCTTTCTTTTTTTTGACAGTTGGCTCAAACGTACGTGTTCACCAACCAAACCAAACACGGCTAAAGGAATATCTGCATGGAGACGGCCGGGGGACCAAACATTTCTTTCGCTGAACCCATGGCGATCGCCGGCTGCTGTTCCGGCAGCTTGATTCCCCTCACGGAAACCCGACCGGCGAACGCCTGATCTCACATGCCCCGACGGTCCGCGCCGCCCCACGCCCCTGCCCTGCCCCGAGCTCGCCGTCGACGCGCCGCCCCGCGCCCCTGCCCTGCCCCGACGGTCTGCGCCGCCCCGTGCTCCTCCCCGTTCGGTCCGGCCGGCCCCCTTTCCTCCCTGTCCTCCTCCCCTGTTTTTTTCATGATTTTGTTGATAGATGATGATGTTGTTGATAGATGATTGTTAGATGATGATCTTGAATTGTTGATGATAGATGATGTATGCTTAACTTTCGAGTTTTATTCCCCCTCGTTTTCAAGTTTGCACTTATGGTTTTCCTGACAATAGTAAGCTGTCAATTCTATTAACCCTTAGGAGTTGAACTTGAGCATGAAGTCACACGTTTCACCGTTTGAATTTGAAACTATTATTCTTAAAACCAATAATTATTTAGTAACACTAATGTTTCTTGAATAAGTAGTTTGACCACCGTTTGACAAAAAATTCAAAAAAACATAAATTTGAGGATAACTTTTTCCCTTTCAGACTTTGAGGATTCGAAAAATTTGCAAAACGGCCTACGGCCGTCGAAATCGGAACCGGATTTTCGTTCTGAACATTTTGATATATTATATATTTTTGTTGACATCGTATGCAAAAGTTATAGCCGTTCTACATTTTCATAACACTTTTTTACAAAACATGTCCAAATTTAAGTTTTTTAATTTTCCTAACTAGTAGATGTAGTAACATAAGTACATTCAAAACTG